TAAACGTATGGTCAGATTCAACAGCAAAGCACGCACAGAGAAGGATGGGGGAGCTCTGGCTCAGATTGTGGTCTGCCAGTCAAAGATCCCAAGAGGAAAAGCTTCAGCACTAGAGATGAGAACTCAGATGTGCTCTGTACAAAAGTGACACAGCTGCTAGAGAAGCTCTTATCCTGCTCGGTGCAACTACTGCATTCTCTGTTCAGTTCTTCAGTTTCTGCCCTCTCCAAGTGCAGCAAGCAGTCATCTCTTCCCTTCCCAGAGGCAGGCCTGCTTCTCCTGCCTTCTTCTACAAGGGCAGTGATCAGACACGCTGCCTCTGGTTTTGGTGTCAGGGAGTAACTCAGAGTAGGGTGCTGCTGGGGTTCTGTTCCATAGAAAAACTCCTGGTGCAATCCCAACCATCAGTCTGTTTTCTGTAAATATTTAAGTATCATCCTTGATACATTCACACTGCATCACCAGAAATCAGACTGTTTGCACTGAGGCATTGCTGCAAACCTTTGATATGGGAAGGAAGCACTTATTTCCAAAAGCAGACCTGCTCTCTTTTCGAGGCACTGGGCCTCAGCACAGGTATCAAGGGAAGCTTGCAAGACCTTTTGAATCAAATGGGGGTTATTCTGAAACCAGACCAAAGAATTTATCAGTATTTCATAATAAAACCATCCAAGTAATGAACCATTCAGAGTGTGAATTACAGAGTCAGTGTTGAGAGACTGGCCTTCTCTGCAGCTAAATTCACTAACAGTACTGACCATTTCAGAGAAACCTACTGCTGGTTACCTCTAATATCTTAGAAGTGAAAATTCTATTATTTCTGTGGCTGTCCTGAAGACAAACCACACAACTGGTCAAAGAGAACTCCCCAAAGGTCAGGTACACAAGTGGCTTCCTTCACCAAGCAGAAGAGACAGATTTGCCAATGCCGCTCAACACCATTACAGTACAGCATAGACAGCACAGCAAGTACCTGTGCTTCAAAGTGACCTCAGTGACACCTTTTCTGTAAGAGTTTACATTGCAGAAGGAACTTTAGTGGCCACTTATCTACACTTTTAAAAATAGAAAACTGAGCATTCCTATTTCATTTAGTTAAACTTGCTGAGAATTCTTCTATGATTAGCCCAATCTTATTAAGCTTTTTGAACTGTACAAACTTATTGAGTGCCAAGACCCTGAAGAACAAAGCTCTAGAACATGCAGTGGTGAAAAACACATCATTTTAAACTTGCCTACATATACTTAGTAAATTAGATTAAAATCAGAAAGCTTGTCAATGTACGTTTAGAACAACACTTTATAGGAATACTCAAAAACATCCATTAGATTCCAAGTTTTGTTGCAGTTAACCATATTTCAAACTCCCAAAATAACTGAATACTTACAGATTTTTAGGGGCTTAAGCAGGCATTTGTAAACAACTTTGTGGTTTGCCAGTCTGACAATGAAAGCATGGTAGCAGAGCCATTCTGCTGCCTCAGAAGGGAACACACCAGATGCACCTTTGCTACCCAAGACAATCCCTAGAGAGAGAACAGGAAAATCATATCAGTGAAAATGATGAGCATTAAGAAGCATGTCTAATCTCTTCTCTCCTTCCATAAAATCATTCCAAGATTTTTTACTAAAAACCTAGGTAGTTAATGAAGTCTCTTATGTCAGCAGAGGACTAAAACTAAAATATGAAACATTTTAGTATTTGAAGGAAATTGAGGTTACAAAAAACCACACTCCATATTTTTCATTCTTGATCTTAATCTCAAAATTATGTGACATGACTGCACACTCAAGACATTTTGTCTAAAAAAAAACCCCCAAACTCAAATATGCCACCTCATAACCATTAACATACTATACCTGGATTTTTTGCTTTCAGGATAGAATAGCAGCATGAGGCATTCTCAGAGATGATCCTTAGGAAGAAATAAGGATTGTTTCTAACTCGCTGGTTGAATGGAAGTTGGAGAACACAGGCGTGGAACCTGTACACAAAACCAGCCTATTAAATTACAAAGTAATCTGCGCTTGCAAGCATAACTATGATGACATATCTTAGGAACTACACAACATTTAAAAATACCCAACAGTCTGTAGCTATATAAACACAGTTAACATAGGACACCTCTCCTGTACATATACACATCCCTGGAGTGCCGGACACATAGGACATTTGTTTGTAAATTCTGTCCCAAAAGAACTTGAAGCCAGTCTCGGCAACAGAATTCTCTTGAGGACAACGACTGTCTTACATGCAGGGCATCACCAATTCCAAATCACAGACAGAGAGAGTATAAGAGAAAGAAAAAAACAAAACAAAACCCACAATAAATTCAGTTCAGGAATTCAGGAAAACAAACCTCCAAACTGGATCTCTCCTCTTTTGTCTATTTGGAAGCCAATTTTATGAAAATTACTTGTATCGTGTGCTCCCTCAGACCTCTGTTTAGACATATTTTAAAACCGCTGGATTTTTTTTTTTTCTTCTTCAGACTCTGGCATTATTATCCTGCTTATGCTGAATACAGTCAACAGTTACAAGTTTTAATTACTCATTGATGAATATACTAGTTGATTAAACTAACCCAACATAAGCACAATCTTTTCAAGAAGTTCCGAAATTTTAAAATATTTAAAAGATAAATGTAATTACCACACTGCATCACAGAGCTCTGGCTCAATTAGCCTGACTGTTAGCTGTTAGTGCAGTGGGCTTTAAAAGTACTCTTAACAAAGACTTTTTTTAGAGTGTTACCATAAAAGTAAACAGAAGTAACTAAGTAATCATGTCACACACATCAGATTAAAACTCTAAGTCACTCACAACACAAAGTTTAAGCAGCTGACACATCAGTGTCCAAGTACACTCCTTGGACACAAGAATGATCTGGAGTGAATGTGGACCAAGACAAATTTAGGAAGTGACATTTTAGTTCTGTTCTTAACAAGTATAAGCCTCACAAAAGAGCAACACCTGTAAAGAGGGGCAATACCTCTCACACCTTTTTTCAGAGATAAAACAATAAAAACAATTATTTGCTGCTGCCAATCATTCTGTTCCCAACACGCAGCGATTAGTATTTTCTCCCAGCTTGCTTATTAGTTTTGACTTCTGTCCCTCTTCCTTGTTTAAAACATTCACTTTCTCGATTGATTAAGAACAGGTCACAAAACTCAAGATACTACCAGCTAAGGACCAATTAAGGCATTATCAGCAGCTAAGAAATTGCAACTAAATTGGTAGAATGAAATCTCATTTTAGGTAATGCTACACAGGTCGAAGTTCTCTATGATTTTAGTAGACAAAAAGTTCTAAATATAAACTAGTTAATGAGTGATAAGGTTTCTCAATAGCCTCCTGAAACAAAACAAACTGCTTTTCTTGACACCAGCTGTCAATACCAAGAGACACTGAACATCCATTTAGTGAAGGCACACACATACATAAATATAATCCTGTATCTTGAATGTAGTAATATTATGCAAGAACAGTACTGAAATAAGACTAACATGACTTACTACTGACATTTACCACTGCACATTTATACAGCAGTCTTTCTCCTAATATGTAGCTCCTCCATGTGTCAAGATAGAGTAATGAAATATTCAGAGTTATTGCAGAAAACAGTGACCACCTACCTGCAAGCCTGAAGTAAAAATATCTTGTAGATGTTAAGCAAAACTGTTTTAAGGCTGTTGATCTAGAACAGAAATAGCACCATATGAATATTTTAGTGTCATGGCAGGATTTGTTCAAGTGCAACAGTCTAAGATGATTTGGAGAACCAGAGAAAAAGCATTTTATGCTAAACTCATTTTAGTTAACGTCAACATTTCCAAGTTACGTGGATCGCCTCTCAAATACCAGCTTTTTATGTTAGAACTCAAAGCAGTTTAAATGCTCTTAGTCACTAATCACAATATTTTGCAAACATCCATTTCCATATTCCTACCTGCAAATCAAGCAATAAACCATGGCATTTCAGTTTGAGGACCGCAATCAATTTGTATTTTATGTTTTTCCCAGGTGTTCTACTTGAATTGAAGGAAAGACTTGATCTGATAGATGTACAGGTATAACTACAAAAAAAGAAAAAGAACTAGTTAAACAGGCTCCATGGGATGATAGACTAAATTAAATTCTGTAAAGTAAGCCTCATTTAACTTCTCATGTTATAGAAATTGCCAGTCAATGAGCCAGTAGCTAAAATATGACTATAACTAAATTCAATTTAGAAAGCAACTAGACATTGTGGCATTAAGGTTACTAGCTAAGGAACAACTTCAGTACCCTAGGGCTGAATAATTTACACTGTTAAAAACCCCAAATCAATAACCTTAAACACAAACTAGATGTATTTCTGAAACACGTGGTCTAGCCAGACCATTACTAACGACTCCATGACAGCCAGGTTTTACTCCACAATCCATGCGCACCGCGACTTAGGCTGGATGCCACCTCAGTTCATCCTGATGTTCCAATTACTTCAGTTAAGCTTACCAAAAGCAAGGCAGCCTTGTAGCATCAGGATTCTGATTGGTGTCTCCCAAACTAGTAGCACCAATGCTCTCACCAGCGTAAACTGTTTCTTTCAAAGACATCTACTGAATAAATACCTTTGGCTGTTGATGTTAGTCCTCTGTTGTTAACAGAAAATTGTGTCATAGAGATTCCTTTTCTAAACTGGCCAAGCTCTTCTTTTTAGGAAAACTAGTGAAAAGTTTCAGTACCCTGGTGATGGAAAACCTCTTCCTAACTTCTCACTCAAATGTACGTGTGGGCTGTTTATACTAAATATGGTCAGTAACACAGCAATAATATCCTTCAGTTTAAACAGTTCTTTCTTGCTGATCTTTAGCAAATGTCTAATGCCATCTCTAGTTGTCCACATAAAGGATCTACAGAGTTTTTCAGTAGGATACATTGTCCCATCCCGAGTTCTATGCCACTTCAGACTGTTTTGTGTAGGCTGCTAGTTTAAAGAGAGGTTACTTCTGTTACTTCTCCCCTATGCTATCACCTGAAGTGTACCAGAGGGAACATGTGTGATGTTGAAAGGATTACTAGTCCCTCTAGCTGACACAAAATTAATTCCAATCTGCAGTCCACGTAATACTTACTGCTTCTTTTTGGAAGGTACAAAAAAAAAATTACTTAACCACGTTTATTGTTCTGAAATTCTTATCAGCTACAATATAGCACATAATGGTGAAAGAATCTGAACTGAGGTGACTGAATAAACTTTCTCAGAACCAGGCAGCCATCACACAGTGTATGACTTTTGGTCAGTAGTGACCTGTGCCACATTTGATGGTGTTAATTGTATGTGCATTCCATCAGGAGGGAATGAAGAAAACAGCAGGCTGCAGAGCAGAATAAAACATTTAGACAACTGTGGAATAAACAGAATTGTAAAATCTATTTTGCAGTTAATTCAAGTACACCATTCACAAGGCACCCTTGTGCTTCTCACACTATGTACAACATGCTGTAAAGTTGACACTGGAGTATAGAATTCTATTTACCTGGCATAATTGCAGTAAATATCAAGTGTCTGTATATTTAATAATAAACCACACCATGGGATCAAATGACAGCCTGGCTTCTGTTTAAGGTTGGAACATCCTGGGATATCATCAACAGGAAAATTCACAATTGTTTTACCGGGGTTTATTAAAAATCCATACTCAGGAATACCTGTTGCTAGAGTCCTAAAACAGACACAAATAGTTAGCCTGACTCCCCTCACAAAAGCAAATACCAAAACCTCACCATGCTGCAAGACACACATGATCTTGCATAAAAGGACAGAAATGAAAGGGAACCACAGCCAACTCCTTAGGTTAAGCAACACAGCTAGAAATAAATAAAACTGGATATATAGGAGGTAAATTAACAGAAAATAAATAAGCTTAAGGATAGGAGGACAATGGAAAAAAATTTTCACTGATTAATGCAAATTAAGAACTTAAGCCATGAAACATTTGAGATGAGCTGCATAAACCACACTCACAGAAACCACTGAGATCAAAATCACTGCAAAAACACAAATGAAGGGTTACTGTTTTTGAAAGTAACAAGGACAAGGAGAATCCATGTAACAGGAACCTCATTTATCTGATGAAAAGCTTTGAACTTTCTCCATAAAGTTTTCTCTAAGGACGTGTTCATTGCCAGAATGCCTGCTGATTACCTACCATACATTGGATCAGCAGTGTCACCTCAGGGACACGCAGCAGTTTGTCTTACTTGGCAAGGTATTCACATGCAGGCTTCATTCTTTTAAAAAGTGGGAGGAAGAACTATGCTCTTCTTGCTGGGAAGTTAATAGCCATAATGCTGTCTCCCCAAAATTAATTTACTGAGTTCCATAGTTTTAATACTATACTACAAAGAAACTGTTACTACTCCATTTGCGGCAGAGAGTTCATAGGACCTGTAAACAGGTCTGGAAAACTTCCACAGAAGAAGCTGCTTGTCTACAGAAAATCAACACAGCTGGTGCAGAAGTTGATACAGAGCTAAGGTGCAGATAACTTCAAAGGGCAAGCTGGACAATATCTGCAATGTTACTGCAAGAGAAATTATGCTGAAAAGTTGTTATAGAGATTGATAGCTTGAGATATCCCCAGCCTCTTTGTTTGACTTATTTCCAGAACCATAAAACTGCAAATCCCTATAAATTACTGGAAATGAGGATAAATGAAGTCTTCAAAGTACACTATCCACCACTTCTAACTGCATTTAACTGACTTCTCCATCATCTTTCTGGCTCAGAACAGAGCTGTATTCTTCTGACTACTGAAAAGCCTGATGCAACTGACTGCATTGCAGATACTAAGCTTTAAGAGCTCTCCTTCGGCCTTAGAACTGGCTTCAGCATCAGCAGACTTCTTCTTGAATACCGATTTTACATTCATATCTACAGTAACCAGGAACATCTTTCGGAGCCCACTTTTTAAAAAAAGCTAGTTCTGAAACACTCTAAAGGAGTGCTATGTGAAAACTTCTGTGTGAGCTGCATGCTGCCATGCTATCAGAATCTTCAAAATAACCACCCCAGAATATTAATGACCAGAAAATTCTTAGCCATATTGGATCAGAGAAAAGTTGCATTCTTACCAAGGAATAGAAGGTAGCAGCACACTTGCCCAACAAAAACATTTTAAGGTTGTAACTAAGACATATTAAAAATTTGAGGGAAAAGGGTCTTAAAAGACAACTGACAGCTCCTTTGGTTAATCTGCACTACTAACTGCTGCTAGAAGCTCCATCAAGGTCAGTAGCTGGGTCTCAATCCAAACTTCAGCAGGGATCCCCCACCATCCAAGCTGCAATAGATTGTTAAGCTATGAAGACTGTAGCTATTAGGATTCTTCCCAGGCGCACGCTATCAGCAAGGACTCCAAAATAGCCCTTGATTATTATCCATAAAGCAAATAACACCTTTATGTACAAGCATGTATAAAAATGAAAAAGAATGGCTTAAAAGGTGTTAATGCTTACTACTTTGAAGACTATATCTTTAACAGCGTACCTTAGAAAAGTTCTTGCCTGCATTAAATGTGGCGTAACCAGCAAAAAGTCATCTACGAGACGTATTAGGACTCTGTAACCAAGAAGAAACTGATGTTAGATTTTTTTTATATGTAACCCTTTCAAATTCTTGGCATATTCTTCAGAGCAACAGCGTGCCCATTTTGATTCACAAGGAGGTAGAGGCCGATATGATCTCCAAATTGAGTCTCATGAAATTCTCAGTTTTGCTTCTTTCCTAAACATAAATGAAAAAAAAATATAAGTAAGAAAGCAAAGGGGCTGGCTACATGAAACATGACAGGAATTTACTCTACAGTAGCTTCTTGGATGCAGAGTTTTACACTTTTCCAAGGGAGAGCTTGCTGACTCTTAATCCACAGGAAAAGGAAAGGCGATGTAATACCATGTACACAACCAGATACCAAATTCTTGATGTGCTCTAACTCTGTATCTTTGTTTGTGAAGCTATAAATTGAACATAAACCAGACTACTACCTACAACGGTAGAGGCTGGAACCATAATCCTGAGGCTGGAAATCCTTGAAATTCAAAATTAAAGTTTGGAGAAAAAGTCCAACACATATACAATATATTATGCATTTCTATAACAGAGGACAGAACAAAGCACCCCTACCCATCCTGCTGCACTCCACAAAGCAATTTGTTTTCCATGTCTCCATAGCATAAGCTGCAAAGCAATGTCGACAAAATGGAGCCCTGGGGAATTCCACAGCACTGTACATAGTACCTAGTAAGAAATAAAAAATAATTTTAAAAAAAAAAAAAATCAAAACATGCACCAAGACTGCAATAGCCATTAAACATTTACTTATTTTTCCAAGTATAACATACGTGTTTCAGTGAGAAATACATTACATGCTTGCTAGTTAGCCTTACTTAAATGCTTATTCTTTCCTCTAAGAATCCACATGCCTCCAGAATTGTTAAGTTAAACTGTAAAAAAAAGAACACCTGAACAAATGTTCCTTTCTTACCAACAAACTCCAGTAGACAACTGTCATTAAATGAAATTTTATAACTGATCTCAAACCATGTATCATTCAGCTGCAGAGTTACTCTTCATCTAAGCTTTGTAATTCTTTATGTTTCATCTTATCTAGCTTCAAAACAAGTATTCTCGTACCAGAAACAAAGTGCACTAGACAAATCTTTTGAACTATAATTTATTTTTAATTACTAATCCATGAAGCTTCTAGCAGGTGCCTGCTAAAAATCCACAGGCTGAAGCTCATACTGTATGCCTACACCAGGAATTAAATTCAGGTGGATTTTGAGATGGAACACTTAACACTCAGACACAGCAGACATCCACAACACATACAAACACAAATGTTCACCACCACCAAAGCCTGCTAAGTTTTCTGAACAAAAGCTCTTTCAGCAGCATGAGTCAGAGTAAAAATGCTTAACTGAAATAATTTTAATCAAAAACTTAAATCAAGGTGTTCATTCTTTTTTTATACTTGCACAGCATGACCTAGCTGAGGAAAATCTTTTCCTAGGTTTTGTTTTTGTTTTGGTTTTTTTTTTTTAGTTTTTTTTCCCCACAGATAAATAATTTAGTTTTAGGGAAAGTTTTGATGGCTTAGCCCAATAGAGCATGTGATCTGATTTTTTTTTATACATCCCAGCTATACTGTAATCACATTTTTTTCCTCATTTAACTGCTCAGGCATAAAATTATTTCATGAAATGCTAACCCTTATTACTTGCAATTACACTCAACCGCCCCTCCCTGATGCCACCTGAAAAATTCACTGAAGATGTCAGTTGCCATTGTGCAAAAGAGTAAACCTATTTGTTTCTCATGGCTTCAAGGAATTCATATAGACATAGCCAGGGGGAGGTTCATTAATATTTCCCCTACCTTGATAACTGCATAAAGCCAGTAAGACCACACATAGCAATAGTTATGGATCAGACCTAGATAAACCACTGAAGAGAGTTCCCCGTTACCTTGTGGATTTTTCTGTGCTGGCAGCAACAGAATGAGTATGCCTCACAAAAACCAGGGGAATCATTTTCACAAGACACCTCTGACATAGTGAGATAAAACATCCATTTTACCACTGCTACTTCACTGGCTTTGTGAAAATCACAGAATCACAGAATTGTTGAGGCTGGAAAAGACCTCTGAGATCAAGTCCAGCCTATGACTCAACACTATCACATGGGCTAGACCATGGCACTAAGTGCCACATCCAGCCTCTCCTTAAACCCCTCCAGGGACGGTGACTCCACCTCCTCCCTGGGCAGGGCATCTCAATGCCTGAGCACCAAGCAAATGAAGAGAATAAAATTATGTAACTGGACTGCAGAGCCACAGACTACATCCTAGCAGTGATCTTACCTGTGTTTTGTGTCATCTACAAGTTTTTGTAGCAGTAATTCTACATTTCCCCAGACTTTTGATAAACGTATCAAAAGGTATTAGAAGTCTTCTCCTAGGTCCACAGCCCAATAGTCAGCATTTTTCTCAAAACACGAAGTGCATGCTGACTGTGCTGGCTTTTTGAGAACCATCAGTTAAAGAGTGTATTCATTTACTGAACAAATGAGAATGAGCTACTTTTAAAGGGCAAATTCATTCCAGGACAAACTACTTGTTCAGCCACTTTGTGACTGAATTTTATGTAAGTGTGAAGCTGGCTTTTTCAGGGTGTTCTTCAATTAAACATACTGATGTTGGTTATTCCGTATGATCGGCAGACGGACTAGCGCTATCATCATTCTGCCAACGGGAGTATAAGCATCAATATCAGGGAAGAAAAAACAACACCAAAACTAGGAATGCTCTTTTATTTGCCTCCTTGTAAGCTTTTCTCCCCTTCCTTCAATCTTGTCAGATTAGATATTCTACAATGAACATATTTTTTTCAAGAGCAAGAAGCTATTCATTTCAATATACCTTCCTCTCTATTTACAAATAAAGATCGTGCAAGTACTTGCTTTCTAGACATGGTACACATTTGCCACCTAGAGGCAAAACATAAATACCAGATCAGTATCTCTAGCAACACAAGAAGAAATCTGCATTACTATCCTCTATAACATCCAATACTCGATTCTGGACTTGCCCATAAATTTTAGTTCCTATTTTTATTGCCTTTTATTGTAACCTACCAAATATAAAAGCCATAAAAGCCATAAAAGGTATAATTTTGCACTACAGGGAAATGACTAACAAAGCTTTTATGTGATTAACTGAATATTAACTTGCTTTTATTCACCACTACAGATCACAACATTTAAAAATATTTTTCTTTTAACTACATCTGCAGTTTTAACTGAAGGTTACATATTTATAGAATAATGCACTCTGTGTATAGTTCACATCACCCCAGTGGGAAAGACAAATTTTATTCAATAAAAAATTGATTCCAAACTCTTCATGGTTTTGTGGAGCTTAAATTGATACACATATTTCAAATTAACATGAAATAAAAATCTTTAAAAGACAGCTATCAAAACCCTGAGCCAATTTAATGTATCCTGCTCAACAGGAAAAAAAAAATCAACCACAAAATCCCACCACAACAAAGACACTATAGAAAGAACAACTAACATTTTTTACCTGTTCCCAATCTCCAGGATGTTGTTATGTATCACTTGAAGAAAAAAACTAAACAGGGTTGAACTTGTCTCATTAAAAGTTAAGCTCTAGAAATGGGACAAAACAATACAAGATTTGCACTTCAGAAACATAATGAAACTAGAAATACAGTATACACATAAAAGATCCACAGAAAACTTTTCTTAAAGTTAAGGCTGCAGTAGTTCAAAACCCTAAGGTAAGGAAGAGACACCCAAAGCCACAATCTGAATATACACACTAAAAAGCTGTCAACATCTAACAACTGAGTGATGCAGTTTTTTTTGTTTTGCTTTAGGAGAAAAGCAATTTTGATCGGTGTTATATGGGAAAACAGTAAAATACACCATCTAATTACATTGGATTATTACCATGTACAAGACCTTGCTCTTTTTGGCCACTTTCTGCTGAGTTCTGAATGTGACAATTTCTGTAATTATCACATTCTTTATAATTCCCCAAGTACAGAAACACTTATTTGCCAGTTCTGCTGGTTTTTTGTGTTAAAACTGTGTAATAAAAAAATCAATTTAAAGCAGTTTAAAACCCTTTAACAATGACTTCACGAGAACTAAAGCAAAATTACTTCCTATCTGCATACATTACAAACACACCCACTGTTTCATAGGATCATGCAAGACCATGGTTATTGGGGGGGGGGGGGGGGGGGGAAGCTAATGCGAAGCCCTGGCGGTATAGACACCAGGACTGCCATGCTGCCATACTTTCCTCAGAACACTTTTTTAAGTAATGACACACACAGAGGCACAAACTGTTTTCAAGAGTAAAATATTTTGAAATTGAATGCTGCTGTTCATATAATATCTAGCATAGTTATCTAAACAAAACCTACATCAGAGAGCCAGCCACTTGCCATTTTCACCCATGCACTCACTAGGCTCTCAGCATTTTGTAGGATCCTGGGATTATGCACCGCCCACACTCTATATTCTACTCCTATATCCATAGACATACAAGATCATTTTACTTGTATGTCAGAAGCATAAATTACTCTATGCCAAAATTTTCTACTTGCAAGTTTAGAAAAAAAAAATTTAAGGGGAAATACCAGTCTAGTCATCCCATGCTTGAGAATCTTATAGATCGCTGTCATGGAGCATCATGATCATCAAATCACTCAGGTTGGAAAAGATCCTTGAGATTGAGTCCAACCATTAACCCTACTCTACAAAGTTCACCCCTAAACCATATCCCCCAACACCACATCTAAACGACCCTTAAACACATCCAGGGAAGGTGACTCACCCACCTCCCTGTGCAGCCTATTCCAACGTCTGACTACTCTCTCCGTGAAAAAGTTTTCCCAATGTCCAGTCTAAACCTATCCTGTTGCAGTTTGAAGCCATTCCTTCTTGTTCTATGGCTAATTACCTGTGAGAAGAGACCAGCACCAACCTCTCTATGTCCTTTTGGGTAGTTGTAGAGAGTGATGAGGTTTCCCCTTAGCCTCCTCTTCTTCAAACTAAACAGCCCCAGCTCCTTCAATTGCTCTTCATAAGATTTATTCTCCAGGCCTTTCACCAGCTTCGTTGCCCTCCTCTGTGCTCACTCCAGCATCTCAATATCTCTCTTGTATTGAGGTGCCCAAAACTGGACACAATACTCAAAGTGTGGTCTTGCCAGTTCTGAGTACAATCTGATTCTGGGACAATCACCTCCCTACTGCTGCTGGTGACACTATATCTAATACAAGCCAGGATGCCTTTGGCCTTCTTGGCCACCTGGGCACACTGCTGGCTCATATTCAGGCGCTTGTCGATTAGAACCCCCAGGTTCATCTCTGCCAGGCAGCTCTCCAGCCACACTTCCCCAAGCCTGTAGCGTTGCCTGGGGTTGTTGTGGCCCACATGCAGGACTTAGCACTTGGCCTTGTTGAAGCTCATACCATTAACACTGGCCCATCGATCCAATCTGTCCAAGTCTTTCTGTCCCTTTTCTCTCCCTACTCTCATGCAGATCAGCACTCCCACCCAACTTGGAGTCATCTGTGAGCTTACTGATGATACACTCTATGCTCTCATCAAGATCATCAATAAGGATGTGAAACAGAAATGGTCACAACATTGAGCCCTGATGCCAAGCAATAAAATGCATTAAGAAACTGATTGAGCATATCACCTACTGCTATGGCTTTCTTTGTCATGAATCTTGCACAGAAGGAAGTCTTGAGAACAAACATTTGGAATTAGGACAATTCTGTGCTGCACAAGGATTAAAACAACAGAAGGATGCTTGTTCTTGTAAGAAAGCATCAGTTAGAGCAAATTTAAAATACATCTTTTTAACTGCAGTTTAATTCACTAAAAGTGGAGAAATCTCTTTAAACAAAAACTAAAAGTGCTGATCTTTCATGTTGCATTTTAACTCCTCTAAAGAAAACTTCATTCTTATTAACCTTGGCAAGTAATCATTAAAAATAATATTAAAAAAAAATTTGTCTATTCTGTGCAGTTTGCTATTCAATATGCCACATGGATTGCCTTATCTACTTAACTTAGAATACATTCTGTTCATTCTGTACATTTTAGAGATAGCAAGCATTGAAGCCCTTCTTTAACCAGACAGTAAATTTTGCAATTGAAAATTGTTGTGGCAAACAGTGGAATTATGAAAAGAAAGAGAAAACACAGGTTAAAATGAAAGCTTGAGACAAAAAGGAGAAAATCTGGGAAAAGTCTAGAAGGACATTTTGTCAGATTTCTTTCCTGGTGCACTCCTTCATCAAACACTGAGAGCCAGTTATAAACGTAACAGAAGAGATGACAAAAGTCCTTCTAGAGAAGGTGGTGGGTAATCAGAAGAGAGGTGGTGTCACCACATAATACGTGCACTCAAATTTTTCTGTGTTTTTTTTTCTTCAGTTGAAAAGAAGCCTCCTAATATTTACCTGTTCAACAATTATTGCATTTCGCAATGAGTCACTCTGCTGCAAGTTGGACACAAACTGCCTCATGTCTTGCATAAAATCCTTGAAAGTAGAAACCTGTAAATATTGAGTGTAAAGAAATAAATTACCAGACCAAAAGTAGATTCAGTACCAGACTCTATTATTCAGTGAGGGTCAAAAGGACAGCCTTATTGCATTATTTTAATCCAATAATTCTGCTCAATTTAAAGATCTCCCTCACATATCTCTTATTTCCACACCTTTATCTTTATTCTTACTAATGCTGAATAATAAGTTTACGAAGGACAATGTGAAAAGAAGCTTTGCTACCTTTATAAAATAATTAACACAAAAAAGTGTTTATGAAGTAATTGCCCAATTCAAATTGTGACCAAAAAAAGCTACAAACAAATATTTTTGTCCAAGGAATATTTATCTACAATAGCAGAGAAGAAATCAACAACTCCTACATGTCTCCTATAGAGCTTCCTGGCTTTTCCAGTTGGTGTAATCATAATCACGGCATAGCGCCGTATGCAGTAGACAGTTTTTTTATCAGGGTTTAAGATCCGTGAAATTACTTCCACAAGTTTCTTGTGAGGAATGGTATCAAAAGCCCTGGACACATCAGCCTGAAATAGAAGAAATATCTTCCATCACACATTCATCAGTATCACTGGAAACATATGGTAGTATGGAGGGGGAAAAAAAAAGAAAAAAAAGTATTGTTGTAGCATGAAACAAAGTCAAAGGAGAAATCACACAGGAGTGAAATTATTGCATCATTTAGTCCAAACCCTCATTGCTTGCCTGCAAAACCTTTCCTCACTCATCAATGAGTTTTCCCTTACAAGGGACAAGCAAGTCATCAGTTTTAGTACAAATCTTGTTATTAACCAGAAATACTGTACGAAACACTGAACCTTCAATCATTTAACTGAAGCTTACTGCTGATACTTTTACATGTTTACATATTTTTAGAAACCTTCCTCTCCATATGATCATGGAGGTGACATCTCAGGCTTTTGGGAAGTAGCAGACCCAGATGTTTTACCTTTCCTAAAATCTCATGTTATAATCTTATCTTTGCTTTTACTTGTCATAGTCAAAATTCAAAACCTTTTGAAGAAGCAACAATCTTGGAATTATGCCAATGGCAACTCTGTGGCTTGAAAGATAAGACAATCACTGAAAGTAATTTCAGGACAGGATGACAACTGACATATGAGAGCACAGGAGAGAAAACCCACTTGATTATATCTATATCTGTGTAATTTACATGTATCTATAAATCACCTCAATTCAGAGATGGGAGCTAAACTTAGACACAAAAGGTTTTCTGCTGGACACAACTGAAAACCAGAAGTGTTAAGAAGAAACTCCTTTAAGTAGTGGGGTATGACAAGTACTCATTTTTTTTTCTAGTGGGAGAAGGAATTTTTGGAGAGACACTTAGAGTTCACTTATTTTCAACAGAAACTAACGATACCGAGATAGGAGAAGTCTATTTTTAAAAACTATACTGAATTTATTCAGATATGCATAGCAAGTTTTCCCTGGTTTTCTTTTGGGAAGATGGCCCTAAAAGCATACCTGAGTTTATACCTTGGCCTAAATTTTAGACCCAAGTAAATGTAACTACAAAAATCCAGTGCATGTGCAAAAGCAAGAACTGCTACATGACAGAAAGATGGACAGAAAAATATCTAAGTAAAGGGATAATCCCTCTCAAACAGACAACCTCCACCACTCTGCCTCAAAAAAAACCAACTAGAGTCTGTTAGGTGGGTGCAAAAGTTTATTTTAAAAGAGAAGTAATTATGCACTCAGATCACAGCTACTGAAGCTATAAAGGTATCAGCACAAGCTGACTTTGAAAAGCTTGTATGTAACTAAAGAGACATACCTTTACATAGTAGAAATGAGGCATTTCACCATCCAATTCGGAAACCTTCATAACAAACTTCTTCCATGTCCTGTAGATATCATCTCTCCCAAATGCTGAAGACCCGATAAAACTGGTGTTTATAGTCCGTTCATAATTTAACACACTAAAGAGATTTTTTAGTCGAGTGTTGTAGTGATGTATCTAAAGAGATCAAAGAGAATCACCTTAAAGCACGTTGAAGTATACTAAATTCTGTGCAAGACAAAGATTTCACATTTAGATGAAATATGAGATTAAATTTATATATTTAATAGAATATTTTACTCAACTGCAGTTTTCAGAAAGCCTGAATATAGTTGCAGTAACTACTTGGAAGTGATAAAACAGTTTCAGAGTAGTTTTTCCTTTTTTTGCTTGTTTTGTACATTTAAATCCTATGCAAAACGTTTTTTTTCTGTGCTTGACTTTTGGAAATCAAGGTGTAATAGTTAGGGACACAAACAGATGGACTCCAGCAAATAAAACCAAGTTTGAAGGTGGCTTCTTAAATTCCATTCTCTCTGCTGGAGATGATCATTGCAACAAGAACTGCAAAAAGGCTCAAGACTTTAGGCTAACTCCAGCTGCATCAGCAGTTCAGACTCTGAACTTTATACAAGTACATTGGCAAAGATTTAACTCTCAGTTATGGCAATAGTAGAATACATGAGATGGCAGCAAAGTCGTGCAGGTTGATTAGTTCTGTAAACACCTTAAGGAAAAAGAGAAATATTGACAGACTGGGCAACTCTCAGTTACGGCAATAGTAGAATACATGAGAGTGGCAGTAAAGTCGTGCAGGTTGATTAGTTCTGTAAACACCTTAAGGAAAAAGAGAAATATTGACAGACTGGGCAACAAAACAATGTTGAAAGGGCAAGCAATACTACTGAAGAAGACAAACAGACTGCATACAAAGGGTACTTATGAATCAGTTTAGAACTTCAGAGATATTCTCCAAAATGTACACACAGAACATAAGAGTTCTTGCTTTCAGTGGTAGTACCATGATCACAATATGGATATGCTGAAACTACTAACTATGGAACCATTCCAATTTATCTGAAAACATTTATTTTTGCACTGAAAAGATCAATTATGAGTTCCAGTGAAACGCTGGCAAAACTAAAGCACACTAAAAATGTTTAGTGTACTACTGACACTGTCTCCAAAAAAATTTGATCCAATTTCATTGTTTTACATAAGGTAATTATGTCCATACATTGGCTGATCTTGCAAAACGTTTTTGACCATTTTGTAGAACAAAGACTTCTGAAAATTAAGACACCTTTCTGAGTTATTGCAGTGGTATATTTTCTGTTATACGCCAAGTTCCCAAGAAAAAGTCAAAAGTTTTAAAAAAGGTAGCTCAAAGGTAAATAGAAGCAGCAAGAGCTAAATAATCATCAGCAAAGTCCTTTCTTTCCATCTTTATGAGTCTATCCAAGGGTGGTTGTTTTTTCACAAAAAGTACACTTGCACATTTTCACAAAACTGATGGCCACATAGGTGTTAGCAGACAAGCCAATAAAAGATAATTAAAACTGGTTTTAAACACAGTTTGAACAAGGCCTGAGAGATCTGGAGTAGCAGTAGTCACAGTTCTCTTGAGCCTTTCGATTCACCAGAAGAAATCGATTCCACAGAATCATAGAATAGTTTGTGTTAGAATGGTTTGGGTTGGAATGAGTACATTCATTTGGTTGCATGAGTAGCCATGCAAGAAAAAAAACAAAGAAAAACAAAACAAAAGAACAACAAAAAATACATCAGAAGACTACTACATTAAGCTGGAAGTCCTACACTGATGAATATTTTCACTAGATACTTTTGTCTCAGTCTACTACGTGATTTATGAAAATCATTAACTATGCTTTGTGATTAGCTTAAACAGATGAAGTCTGTCTAAAAGCTGAAGACCTTGATGTCCTCAGTTATTTATCAGACCTCTCAAACAGAAGTCTATTGCTCCCACTTTTCAGTAGATTACAGATATTCCCTCTCAGCTCCAGGGCAGTCAGGTCAGCTCAAATCACTTGAGCAACTGCCACAGTTGACTTCAAACCTTCCTCATCTTCAGTGTATTTATGTCATCCTTTATGCCAGATCTGGTACAGGAGCAATAGCATCTTTAAAGTCCTGCAGCTGTTTCCAAATTAACTGCCTGCATACTCTCAAACCTGACAGTCTGGTTGTCACAGAAATAATACTAAGAAATAACACTCCAGAACAGCTTTTAGTCAATACCCTGTAAATCCAGCCTGGGATCACATACTGAACAGTAAGTACTAAGAAACCACTGACGTCTTACCCATTTGCAGAACATTTAATCTTCTGCACTAAATGGGACTCAGCCTTGCAGTCAGGCAAGACGGTGAAATTGGGTTCCCGCTATGTCTTGTGGTTAACTGGCCTGTCAAACAGATTATTTTGTGAACCACGTCTTCTGTTCCTGTTTCCACATCACAGAAGACGTGGCTACCTGACAGGCCAAGTCATTCTGTTACACTCATTTCCTTGAGACAGGCTTGCAAACAGAAGTGATTCTGGAACTGGAGGCTAAAGGTAATTAAACACAGGGAAGGGATAAGCTGAGTTGCAACAGGTAGACTCATTCTGTCATTTTGATTTGAATGTTTCAGTTCACCATGTTAAAACTAGTTTTATATAACAAAAAAACCCCAAAACCTTACACACTTTATTAGCTGCCTACATCAAGCCCACATGAAGCAATAAAGATAAAAAACCTTCTTTTCTCTGCTTTCCCTGCTGAATCGTTGTGCTTCAATAACGCCGCTCACTTTTACTATGGGTCTTAACCCATTTTCTTTGGGAATAAACCGAAGCTTTGATACCACAGGAATGTAGTTTTTTTGATGGACAGCTTCAATCTCCTCTGACGACAAAGCGCGGAGACGTACTTGGGCAAAATGGTTTCTAAAATACAAATACACATTTTGTGTAAGCAACAGGAAAAACAGCAAGTTAAAACATTTAATCTCTTTATGATAACCAAAGCCAAATACTTTTCTAAGAAGATAATTGCCAATACTAACCTCTGCAGAAAGTTACAGGGAATCTGAATTTCAGAACAATTTCACAGTATCTTAATGACAATGTAATATAATAATAAAAGACTACACTTTTCTGCTTCATGCAAATTAAGAAAATTTTGACATTTTAAATAACAATAAAATAGCACAGATTAGCTGAGTACATCTGAACATTATGAAGTATTTTTTATGCAAGACAACGGGAAGTTGGATACGTCTCTGGTTTCAGAAGCTTGAAAGACATGAACAAAGTTTAATAGAACCTTCTGAAAACTATCTTAAGATCCAGGGAAGGACTTACACACTGTAATGCGCTGTTCTACTCTCAACATTAGAGGGCCTACTAATTACAAGTTGCAGCGAACTGAGAGACTAGAATACACATACAAAAGAAGAATATTTATGCATCCAGTAACATGACTCACAAGAAGCAATCTGACAAGCAGGAGTCAGCTAAAGCAAACAGCAGAAAATAAAGAATGGAAGGCTCCCAGGTCACAGGTTCTCAGTTCCTTTAAGTTCACCTTCCCAGGAAAGGTGCTTCCTCCTCAGACACCCCCTGAGGATTTACAGTTCAGTGTAGCTTCATGCAAATCAGTATTTTCCCATGCAATGAAGTAGGAAAAGGAGGGTGAGCAAATGCCCTTGCTTTTACTCAAGATGTATTGTTAAATCGCCCTACCTGCATCAATCCTGGATCAATCTCCTGCACTGTGTGCATTGTTCGGGAGGACAAAATGTGCCATTCCAAAAAGCCCTAGAGCCTAGTCATTAGGATACTCTCGCGGGAAGTGAAGCTACACAATTCAAATCCCCACAAAAGGGCCACAAATTGAAACTTGCCTGCAGATTTCTCACCCAAACCAACAGCTTGGTTTAGCAAAGGGAGGCCACAGAATCACAAAAGCAGCAGATAGATGGTGGAAACCTGATAAGCATGCTCTAGGAGACACCAGAGAAGCCAAGCACGCAGGTAAGAGAGGCACAGAAATACTTTTCCCCTGTTACACCCACGCAACTCACATACAAGGTAACGATCCAGCAGCTTGGGACTGCCGGCATCTGAGTGACACAGAGCTGGACACCCAGAAGGTACAGGGGCATCTAGGGTCTGCAAGCTGAGCTACCACTGAGCATTTTCAGGATCTATATATCCAAACCTTAGAATTAAATTCCTGGTACAGATGCTGCCAAAAGAAGAAAGAACAGGAGATCGCTCTTCCACAGCTAGAGATCACTATTATTTATGATGACTTAAGTTTTCTTGAAGTTTCCATAAAACTTCATTATGTAGTTTTAATTATAGAACTAGGCAGATCACAAAGTCAAATCACCAGTTCATAGGGGGAAAAAAAAAATAAATCCTTAACCACCACAGAAAAAAGTACTACTTCCTCTGAAAGTGAAGACAAAGGCCAAATACTGCCAGATCTTCACTGTCACTACCTCTGGCCAGCTGCAGAACTGGATGTCATTTTGCCTGCAGCAACATTCATCGCATTTACAGTGGCGCTAATGATTTTGAATAGGCACTTATCTAGCAACCACTCAACCACGCTGCTCTCGCACACTCACAATGCTGGTAAACGCTTCAACTCAGAGGGAGTCGCGTGGACAGTCCTGCTGTCTTGTAACATCTCACCACAGTCTAATGGAGGAGATTCAGAACTTCTGCAGCATTTCCAATCCTCAGCAGCCACTGCATTTGGCAAAGTCCTTCAGAAAACAGGTGCTGTCACCAGAATGCTGGGTACATTATTTGTTATTTTTAAGATGTAACCTGGCATTCTGTGGGCCACATAACTCGAAGCAACTCTATCACAGAATTACACACCGATTTTTTCGTAGAAGTCCTTTTTTTAACTTGGGGTATGACGCTTGGTGTAACTTCAAAAATTAATAGGAAGTTGTCCATGTGCAATGACCAGCGCGCTCTCACCTCCATTCATAAAGCAAGACAGACAGAGTGAGGTTTCCTCTCAGAACCGTGGTCTGTACCCTTGAGTGGGATTCTGCACAGAAGATCTACTCACACAGCCACCCTTCAGGATGGGAATTGATCTCCTGATGACAACGCAGCGCAAAGCCAAGTTCATGAGTAAAGTCCAGGTCCACTCAGTTCAGCCTGTACCATCCATTCTTTTCCTCACAAAGGAGGATGCAAAGACCTGGAAAGGCATCATTGGCTACGGTCAGTTGTGAAGACCTCCCTGTGAGCCAGCAATTGTCACAAACAGCTTCAGCTGAGGAGAGGAACCAGGACAACCACAGAAGAGCCAATGCAGCAACAACTGAGACCACCACACACTCCTCCAGGGAAGATGGAAGCAGCTCAACAGCCTTTGGTTCCCCAACAGTGCCTGAAAACACTGGCTGGTTAAGAGAGGATGATGCCTGGAGAGCCACCTCAGAATGGACAAGGAAGCCCTGAACAGCTGCTTCAAAGCCCTCCAAAGCCCAATCTCTTTGCTCTCATGGAGGTAGCTTGCCACCTGTACGAATGCAGTAAGCCAGAGCAGTAGAAGACCTCACATTATGTTGCACCCTCAGAAAAGCAGTGCTGAAAGCCCTGGCCTTGGGCACGAAGCTTAAGGGCCGCTGCTGGGGTCCTGTAGCCAACAGCAAACACTCTGTCCCAACCAGGCGCCCTTGGCACACGTGCAGTGGCGCTTCCTTGGGCTGTTTCCCCAGCTTCCAGCCACCTGCAGCTCAGGGACACTTCCTGAGCCAAAGGTGACAAGGGGGCTTCCTGCACAGAGGGGAAATACATGGGGAGGAAATCAGAAGAAACAAGATCAGCCCAAATTAGGGTCCTTTTGAGTTCAGAGCACCTTGTCCTTACACATGTTTTTCTAGGGATCTGGGAAGAAGGGGCAAAAGGGCTATACCAAAACTAAGTTGTTTTCATTTAATCACATACCCTACTAAAAAAAGGCCTTATATCTAATATGTGAAAGTTGGTACTTAATGATACTTCATGCCAAGAAGTAGACTCTGAAGTACATTAAAATACATAAAACACTAATTGCAACTAAGGCTGTTAGTTTGAAGACAAGGCAAATAAAAATACATGGGACTGAAAATTACATTCTACTACTACTATTTAAATTGCATATCCTTTGATACAACTGCAAACAAGATCAAGGCCCCACTAAGTGCAAACACATATGCAGAACAGCTGTGCTGAAGATACCACCATTGAAATGAGCAAGCAGCAGGGCAGAAGGGGGAAAAATAAAAAAACCCCACACACATACAACATTGTAGACTAACAGACAACTGTGGAAGCAAAGGGTTCCCCACATAAAACAGCAATTAAAACACGAGACATTAAAAGTACGCTCATTTTGTGCAGTTTCAAAGCACTCTCGGACACCAACAATTTATAATGAAAACCCAAAAAGATGTGAACTATGGAGATATGTGCACAACAGTGCTCATTAAAATTGCCTTCAGATCTCTCCTACTTTCTCAATTAATTGCTTAAAATTTGATCTTAAATAATGCCCTAACTCACAATACATGCATGCATTTTTAAGACCAAAAAAGCAGCATGGAATCCCATAGCTGCACTAAAGAAGCTGCAGTTTTTCAATCCCTCAACCTTGATTTATCAAACCCAAATCCTCTTCAGAATGGATTTTATTATTGCAAGGTTTCTCCTATTGAATAATTCTAAATTTGAAACACTTTCCTCCCACAAAGCATTTCTGAATTTACGAGCTGTTCATACTGCTATCACAGGTTGAATTCTCCCCTGGGAGATTAAGCACATAAAAAGAGGATAAATGGACGATAAATGAAAGCAGAATTAGAACTTTGCACTACAAAGCATAAAAGACTTGCACATATTCCGTTAACGTTTGATTAGTTTTCCAGTGTTACCTAATTCCAATGTTCTGCAACTTGCCCCAGAGAAGCTTTCGGTAGTAGAAAAGCATGTTTTTCTGGAACATCGTCTCGGTGACATAGAAAAATGATCTGAGCAATTCAACAACATAGGTATCCATCAGCCAGAACAGGAATTTAGCCAAAAGTTCTTCACGGAAACAATGTTCATTGGCAGGAACAAGGTGATCACCTTCAATAAACAATTCAAAGGTAGTTACAGTAAGCATCAACTATTTGTATTAGTAAAGAAACAGAACATACAACAAAAAACTTGAATAACCTGACCCAAGCTTAAAGTACAAACATAGAAACTAATTAGCAGTGACAAACTGACACACAGTACATGAATACATGCCACTAGTAGCCCAGAGACTTACTTTATTCCCTCAGCATTGATTGTGCAAGATCTTTAATGCACAATGGCAAGATTATTGTGAAGGGAAAGGTAAATGGAAATAAGCCTACAACACAAAACTTACAAAGCAGAAGAATGAAAATACTTAGGTATATTGTAAAAATAACAGAATTAAACTTGGAGATGAAAACAGTTACATGAAAACTACACGAAAATTAATTTCAGGGTTAGGCTTTATTTCAGACATCCTATATAAAACTTACTGCTGCAGTCAAAAAAGAAGAAAAAAAAAAATCACGCTAAGTCCATCAGCACTTATAATACTTAGATGACACAAAAATTATGAACCCAGAACATTCCTAGCTATGGTCAAATTTAAGGCTACATAGATTTGTAGTGATGTCTAAGTATGGGTGAGTAGAGAATAAAATCCTGTGCTACAATTCTGAATTTTTGCCAACTTCCAATAATACTTCAAGCACAAGTTTAAGCTTCAAGCACAAGGGAGTAGTTTCATGAAAATAAAAATCAGGCCTGCATGTTGCTTTTCCTGGAATAAGACCAGAGAGGAAGAAGGTATTACATTTCTTTAAGAGAAGATGTTTTAAATTACTATAAACCAAACATTTATTTTACAATAAAAACATCTAAAAGTATTTAACTCCACAGACTTTTGAAAAGCATGTTTTTGAGCCATAGTTTCTGAATAAAGAATCCACATATTTTCTAGTGCTAACAGTTCCTTAGGGAATTGTAACCTCCTCTATTTTTGACAGCAGTTCTCAAACGTCGGACTTTTTCTTTTCCTTCTACGTTACAAAGAACCCGCAGGATTTCAGAACCTTACCATACCTTTTAAAAAGGAACGCCCATTTTCAGCCCACATTATTGTAGGATCCAAGTACATTACCAGGTAAGAATAAATAGTACAAACTTATCAGTTAAGGAAGCACGATCCCCATTGTATAGATGGGGAACAGAAGCATAGAAAAACAAATAGATGCATTAGAACCACAGCTACAGCCTGGATTTCAGCCCTAGGATAAGCATCTGCAGAAAGACTTCTTCAGGGAAGGAGGATTTTACCTGTCACCATCTGAAAAGAGGACTGAACAGAAGGGATCCAAACAGCATTCGGAACAATCAGCTGATGCCCTCGTAGCAGCTTTGAGCCTGGAACCACTCGGTCTGGTGACATCTGCATCACCAACCACCCAGCCCAAAGGGGTGCTCAGCGAGGGTCTCCTGTTCTAGAGGAGGGCTCTAGAAAGGTGCCAGACGGTGGGCAAGCCCTGTACTGCACAGGGTCCTGTGCTCACTCACAGGGGTGATGTCAGTGGGAGGGAGGAAAGAAAACATGCTGTGGGATGAAAGTTCACTTCCATAGCAGAGGAACACAAACCACCCCAAGCGTCTTGATTTGCCTTTAGTTCTTTCTGAAGGCAGATGGTAACCAAGAGGCAGGCGGCATTTGTTCCTTACTTCAACAAATTTGGAGTTACTGCAATTTGGAGGGTAGTTACGAGTTTTGTTTCAAAGCCCAGGTTCCAAATTCATGTTTGTGAAAATGTCACCATATTATTACAGAAAGTGTGAATGAAAGTGACGAAAATTGAAATTCTGGAAGGCAGCCAGGCTTAATTGTGCCTTCATGATCAATTACAAACACCAGTAGGTTTGCTCTCTTGACCATGGTTCTTACCAGCAAATCCAAGAAATCTGAACCCAAACTAAATACCCTTCTCTTCCCACCTTAAACGTGAACACCAGTGATTTGAAACCCCCGCCCCTTAGCTCTTTAATATAAGAAGTACCTTTGCCCAGACGAAGCCACAAGCAGTCATTCACTCTCATCTTCCACATCAACACCTGCAACGAAAACTGAGCAAACTTCCCCATGGAAATGAACGTTTTCACGTTCTTCAAGAACCGGCACTTGTTATGGTTTGAACCCCAAAGCTCGGTGGGGATGACCCGCTCCAGGCAATCCCTCACAAACATGTACACCTGCCAGTGGTTGCTGCGCTGCTTGAGGAGCTTCCCGAGGGCTGAACTGTCCGCCTCTCCCAGGTTTTGCTCCTTGCTCTGTGATGCCCCACTCGCAGATTTTGCAAGAGGAGCGCAGAAGTCCTCTGGCACGTGACCAGATTCACATCTGCTGCTTGTGACACACTCGTCAGGCTCTTTCCCAAACTGCTCTGCTTGCTCGTGAACCTCTGCTTCCCCACGAAAAGCTGCCTGACAAGGCAGCCCAGTTTTTCTCACACCAGTTTCAGGTATCCAGATAGGGCAATTTTTTTTTAAAAGAACTAAGTAAGGACACTTGGCATGGTTCTTTAACAGTTTCTGAAATACTGGTCTCATTTGCCAGTAGCGTTTGGGCAACCTCTTCTTCCTCCATTTTTGATGAGGCAGACTTTGGTTGCGCTTTTGCTCCAAAAGATTTCGGCTTAAGAATATAGTTTCTATAAGCCGTCTTCCACCTGCCTGACAGCCCTGCAAGCGATTCAGTAAAAACCATTTAGGAAAACATTCTCTGAGACTCCTGCGAGAATACAGAAGAAGTTTCCTGTTAACGTATATTGCAGAACGTAAGAGCTTATTTGGTGACTCCTTTGCCAAATTAGATATGGGATATTCCTGCCTCCTGCATTTTGAAGAAATACCTTCCACGGGCTTGGTTTGTACAGAATTCAACTGAGATTTATACATATGCAGCTCTACTCGTTTCCTACTGGATTCTGCTTGCATTTCAGTGCCAGGCTTTGAAGGTTTGTTAGTCTGAACTCCTCGCAGAAAAGAGCTTTCACCTGCCACAAACTTCTTCCTGCTACAAGATGTGCGAGTTAAAGAAGGACCAGACATATCACTGTTACTTCTCTGAGAAATGTGCTTGTCTTTAATGAGATTTACAGAACGTGATTCTACACACTCAGTTCCATCTCTCTTGGAACTACTTTGGTTTACATCGGGAGTGATATTACAAGATTTTTCCTCGCTCACCTTCTCCTCTACTTTTGCTCTCTTAGCTGGAATTTCAGGTTGTTCACTACCAAGCTTCCTTTTTAAAGATGGTGCCGTAGTTGACAAATACAAACCAGAGCTACTCTGTTTTTCCAGACGTTGAGTCACCCTTCTGATCCGTTCACCTGCTTTAGAAATGGGTTTTGCAGAATACCGGGACCTGGATGCTAAGTTTCTCATCTTGCTATTTTTTCTGTTTCTCATGCTGGAGACATTGGCTTCAAGTCTTTGTCTGTGTTTCCACCCACGTGACTTTGAGAGATACCGTTTATGAAACATAAGCCTTTTTTGCATATAGTCAAGCAAGCTACTACGTTGACGCTTTGAAAAAGTTTGTTTAACAAACGCTGGGGATGAGTCTACATTATGGGAAATAAGTTCATAAACCGGTTGTCCGCAAACTTGGTAACAACAACTAGGGGGAACAAGCATAAAGACTGCACAGTGTTCCAGCAAATACATCATCACATCGTCCCCTATCCTGCTCAGTAGTTTTTCCCAGAGGCCGCTGATACGCATATTTTCTGTCACACTGTTGGGTAGGTAGCTGTATACATGAGAAGATGGTATGATTTGGAAATCAGAACAGTTTTCGTCCAGCAAGGAGTATCCATATGCAAGAACATTCTTCTTTCTTTTATCACACAGTCTCTGAACAATTCTCATAACGACTTCGCTCTGACTAGATAACTGAAGAAAGAAAAAGAGAAGATTAGTCTTTATCACCGACTCTTCCACAAACCACCACATACACTTTAAATATATGGATACGCAAGGCCTAGACACGAGCTTGAGATCAAACTCTTCCAAACCCACACTAACGATTCACAAGTGCCATACCCAAGAAAGATTTTTCAAATGTACCACAAGACGTTTGCGTGCAGCAGCCCAGGCCTGCGACTTTAAGGAAGTCTCCTGAAGGTATGCCCTTTTGATCCTGGTTTTCACGCCCAGGAAACACTCCACAAACACTCTACCGACTCCCTTCCGCATCCCTCAGCTACCTGGACTTCAGGCCTTCAGGTCACTCTGCCCGTAGATACACGCTCACACAGGCTCCGGGGAACCAACACTCGTTTTCTTGAGGCCTCCATTTCCTTTCACGTACAGGAAAGTTCAGCTACACGACTCGGTTCACAATCCCAAAGCGCGCTCAAGAGGCTCCCAGGGCTCGTTTCCCGCCGCGGCGCCGTTTCACTGACGCAGCAGCGGCTCGGGCAGACAAGGCGGCCTCACCGAAAACCTTCTTCTGCTTAAACGCCCACCTGCAAGCGGTTTCCCTCCCTTCTCCTCCATCCTCTCGAGAGCGGGAAAGGGGCGTTTTTCATCTCCAGTCGCTCCCCGGCCACGCTCGGTTTGCTGGCTC